TGTGTGTGTGTGTGTGTGTGTGTGTGTGTGTGCAAACAGAAGCCCACGTTGGACAATCGGGTAGGAGCAAACAGGATGTGATGATCAATCAGCCTGTGACTGATTGATCCAACAGCTCGGTGAGCTGTTGGAGGAGAGCCACGTTCTCTCTTCTCCACACACCCACGGCTGGGTTATTACCTCCCATCTTCCTCTGCGGGCTGGGATGAGGTGCAACATTTCACTACATCTCACAAACAGATCGAAACAAGATGAGGCAGACCCACCACCACCACCACCACCACCACAACAAAAAAGGGCCAGATAGACATTACAACCGGCCTCCCAAACAGTGGCAGCTGAAGGTCTGCGTGGCGTGGCTTCTGTCCGTGGTGCTGAACGCTTTCCCTGCGTGTTTCAGAGCAGAGCAGGCAGACAGTGGGCCTGTCACCGGATTAAAAGGGAACAACAGTGGAGGAAAACAGAGCTGCTTTCACCGAAACAGCTTAACATCGCGGGGGTTGGCGACCGGGTTCACACCGTAAGTTTCTCATACATTTACCGACCCACGTCACGCAGACGAAGCTCGAGCCCTCACCACGTACACAATAACGGTCGTTTTGACTGAAACCGAAGACTTTGTAGCTCCATGTGTGATAATGTAGGACACAGTCCGGTCCAGAATGAGGGGAAGTGCGGTTAAATCAGTTTGACCGTGTGCAGACCCGATGCCCTTACTGACCGCATTAAGCGCATCAGCGGATTGAGGGACGGGGGGGTCTGTTTGGATTTATTTTTATAGATAAGTGACAAAATACAGTCTCGTTCCTGAGCAAAGAGGAAAAGGAAACATAGCGCTGCTCGTCTTACCTCTGTCGCCATGTTGCCATCCGTGAACGTGGGGAAGAATCCCTTCAGGAGCTGAAATCGCTTTAGTGGGACGCGGAGGATCGATGGGCGGGGCTTAGCGTGGGGGCGGGGCTAACTGTAATGGGGCGGAGTCCGCGTTGAAACAGTTGAAAAGGGTGTGGCTGGTTATAGAACAGCTTCTCACAGGATTTCTGCTATTTTTATCATTTCAAAATAGGAATTTCCAAATTTTATGGTCAATTTTGGGGCTCTTTTTTTTTAAAAAGGTTCATAGCTATGTATACAATTTTCTAGTGATGCTTTGATTTTGATGTTCCTGGTCAATTCAGATTCTGAATCATGTTCACTGGTAGGGGTGAAATGTGGAAGACAGTTTTAAAATATGCATATTTTAGATGCATCTTTTCCAGAACACTCAACTCAAACAATTACATCCTCTGCATGCCATCAAGTATTGCAAAAGCCTTGAAATCATCAACTTGCGTATGGCGCAAGGGAAACACCTAGGGCAGTGATCCATAGGGACTGGAATTGGGAAACACTGCTCTCACAAGAACATTTTAATCTGAACCATCCTGATGGATGCAGATAAGAAGATCCCACCGGTTTTCTAAGCAGCACAGGGAGGAGATTGCACCATGCCCCGAGAGCTTTTTGTCTTATGAATTTACAAATTAATGAAAGGTGAGGTTGTTTTTGGTGCATCGAACTGGTCCTGGCTATGAGGAAATGCCGTCATAAACATCCCACTAGACCAGACTAAGGTCCCTGGTCTATGTGGTGATGACTGGATCTTCACAGGTCACACATGAGGGTCAAAACATTGGACAGACAGGTAAACAGGGTTGCTGCAGGTTTCACCAACTCAAATTTAAAGCTTTTTTTAAGATCATTATGAATTAAATTTAAGACCATTGTCATTATGGAAAAGTACAGAAGAAAATTTAATATTTTTATCCAAGCCTTGTTGCACAGATACAGTATAGTAATATTGTAGGGGTTGGCAACGGAAGTGAGCCAGAGGCGAAGGCCAACATTTCCTAGCCAGCTGGCAATAAACTTACCCTCATGATAGACGCAAAGGAGCTAGCTAGCTACTTAGCGGTAGCCACAACCGCTCAAGTCACAGAACAGAATGTCTGAGAGAATTTAACATATCTTAAGGCCTTATTTTTTAGATACGTGAAGTTAAGACTTTAAGGATGCAGACACCCTGATAAAGAGAGCTTTTCTTTTAGGCTACGGTCTTCTTTCACCATGACAGATGTTGCAACAGATGACCCCATCCGTCCACAACAGAAACTGAACCTAGACGTAATTTAACATCAAACTAGTCATTTCAACAATTAAAGACATGGGACCTACTTTATGACATAACAAAAGTGTTTATAGAAGCAGGAATATTTAATGAACCATAAGCATTTACACCACTGCTTAGTACTGACATTATAGCTCAGTTAAAAGACAAACTGCCTTTAAAGATGGAACCCAAACTTTCCAGTTATGTAAAAATACAACCTGCCTAGAACTAAAAAGAGAAAATGATTATATGTGCATACTGCTTTTAAGGGAAAAAAAGAACTCAGAATGATAAAAACCAAAATAAAATTTAATTCTTGTGCTAAAAACTGGGAGGAATGTTATAAGAAATTCAACATCCAGTATTAAGCTGCGGTCACAACTGTTTTTGAATCAATGTTAACATTTTAATGATGAAGAAGAAGAAAAAACAAAAAACAATCCTAACCTTCTCTGCTCAGAGTTGATCATTTAAAATTTCCGAGTTTATTACAACAGTATCATAAACAAACCTTTAAAATATGACCCTAAATTTATATGTAAAAACACAGTCAAGTTGTTCAAATAAAAATCTGCACTTTCTGGAGTTTTAAATTAAATATATTAGCTGTAGAATAAACAGAACATATTACAATAACAGTGTATGTATATAATTACCATAAAAGCAAAGCAAACAGTTACAATCATCTGTGTCTGATTAAAAATCGACTCTTCACCGCGACACAACGTCAGTTCTTCAAGTCAAGTCCTGCTTGCAAGAGAGAGTGAGGCTGTGGTAAATGTTTCAGGTGGATTCTGGGACTTTCATCCAGTCAGACCAGAGTCCGTCCAGTTCGAAGAGAAGCTTCAGAAGTCTGGAGATTCCTATGCTGCTGCTGCTGCGGCACGTCAACAAGCGCATTTTACCCACACGGAAGCAATAAAACCAGAAGGAGGCAACAAATCGATAGCTATTTTGTAAAAGTCTTTGTTCTCCTTAATATTTTGCCTCCCCCCCCCCCCGACCTCCCCCACTTCAAATTTTGCTAACTCCACATGTTCTTCCTCAGGTCACAGGCAGTACTCCAGCAGCAGGATCACGTCTGAAACACAACTGGGCGTTTCGTCTAAACGTTTAGGAATAAATTATCTCAGTGAGTTCAGGTTAGCCAACAAAATATGATAACTGAGCAACACTGTGCAATCTCCACATTAGCGGGCCAAAGCTAGGCGCAGAACGTCGATCCATCATTAATTTGAACGCACCGACTCCAGTTTTGTCCACTTTAGAAATTCATCCAAAAGCGTCTCACATTTGCAGAACACCCTTCACTTTGTTCTTATAGAGAATCCCTCTCAGTACGACTCGTCTGCCCCACAGGACAGGAAACATAAAGCAGATTAAAAACCTAAACCAAGGTATCCATCCTGTTCGGTTTTGGCATTTATACCCCTCTCAGCTCAGAGAAAGGTATAAATGTAGGTTCCTTTGACTGAGAACCCATAATGATCTGTGTCAACCCTTAAAGACTCATGAAGTCAAACTGCAATTACTGACAGATTTAGCAGGAAACATCTAAAAAACACACTACAGGAGCAATCCCACAAGCCACATGAGAGGTTTACAGAGGGATGGCAGTTGGTAAAGGCAGGAGGGTCCTGGAAGTTCCACGTGGGAAAACGTCTGGACAGCGAGTACGAGCCTTTACTACACAACCGAAGCATGTAGGTTTGGGTTTCAGTGAAGGACTCCGGAGACAAAAATCAGTCTGCCGTCTCATTGTAACTTGAGAATGGAATAACAGGCAGCACACACAAACACGGTCTCTCTCTGCGCCTCTGGAGCTGAAACAGAAACAGGAAGCAGAGGATGAGACGCAGCAGGAAAAATAAACAGCAACTGGAATCGACTCGCATGAAGGGGTCTCTGACTCTGGTCCTCCAAACCTACTGTCCTGCAGCTTTTACATGCATACAGACTCTAACCTGGATCGAATGAATGACTCATTACCAGACTTCTAAAGTCTGCCATTTGATTCAGGTGGTTTGGAACAGAAATCCACCTAAAAGTCGCAGTAGCTCCAGAGGACTTAAATCGGAGACAGCTGCTTAAATCAGGGCATCTGCAGGCAAGACTTTTTAAGACATTTTTAATACAGAAATAAACTACAAATGTAAGGCATGGTTGGGGTAAATGGCTGCATTACAATCAAGCGCATATGGCTCTCTACAGCTTTAACCACTATAGTGCCTAGCTTAAACATTTTTCTGCACCTTGCCTCATACAGGTTGGCAGCAGGAGCCAGCCAGAGCCAAACGCAAGTCATCCAGCTAACTTGGTGCTAAATTACCAACTGGTGATGCAAAAATGATAACTAGCAAGTTAGAACAGATATGTATGCTAGCAGCTAGCTAGCGTTAGCCTCAACAGTCTGTAGTTACAGAATGCAATGAAGATGTTTTTTGCGTGTGACTCAAACTTTTTCCTAACAGAAAAATCCCCAAAAAGAAAAACTAAATTAAAAAAAATCCTACCACGACAAAATTTAAGACTTGTGCTCAATTAATTATTATTTTTTAATTGTTACAGTTTTTTTTTTTTAAACCTGTGACAACTTGTGTAGAAACTGGCAAACCTGTTTTTTAAACCGCCACGTTAAGAACATTTTACTCCTTAAAAAATGTAATCATAATTAAAGCTGACATAACTGTGTCTATTATTGTTATTATGTATTCTCACCTGTTGCCCCCATGAAGGACCTCGGCACCTTGCTGGAACAGCATCGGGAGCAGAAGCTGTTGCCACAGTTGCTGCAGTTTCTCTACAACATAAAGACGCGTTAGCTCAACTTGGAGCCAGGGAAACGATTCGGCTAGGATAGATAATGATGTAAAAGCTAAAACATTTAAAAGGAAAATTTCGGTCTCACCCTCTTCTTCAATACTGAGAAGACGGCACTGCAGTTGGAACAATTGCCTTCGGAGATAAAGAGAGAAAAATGAAAGGTTGATGGACTTTAAGGATTTTCTTCCCCATCAATCAGGTCTAAAAATGGACCAAAAAAAAAAAAAAGGCTCAGAAAACGAGTCGGAGCTGACTGACCCATGCTGGTGGCAGGGTAGCGTTTCCGGAGCCTCTCCGTCAGTTTGGACACCTTGCTGCGGATCGGTTCATTTCGACTCAAGAAGCCGTTCTCAGAAACCGTGTCATATTCAGGAGCGCCAAGAGGTCCGTCGTCATCCTCCTTCGGAAGATGGAAAAAAGAAATAAAAAACTGTTATCATAGTTTATAAAACCTGAGTTTTTATGACCTCCTTCCAGATTAAATTCAGCCAAAAACAATCACTAATATTTGAAAAATTTTGCAGCTTCAGTACAGCTGGTAAGGCCACAAATGTAATAATTAAACCTAAGAATTCATGCATTCACAGTGCAAATACACGCAGCACATGCATTAGTCTTATAATGAGCTCAAAGTCATGAAGGGAATCAATATTTTGAGCCTATAAGTTTTATATTGGATTATGGTCCTGGGATTAGTCTGATCCCACAATAATGCCAACGTTGTTCTGGAACCAGGATGCTGCTCTCTTTACTGCCGTGTTTGGACTTGTTGTCTTGTTGAAACACACAACTTACTCTGGTCGACATTAGTTTTTATAGGATCCTTCACCTGTTAATGTTAGGAGGTCGTCTGATCAACTATCTACAACCCAGGATCCAGTAAACAAACATTCTTTCACCAGTTCATAAAATCTTCCAGACCAGTAGATTGGTTCTTGGGCCAATTGCAACAACATAACTTCTTGCCAATTGCCTGACTTTACATTGGCCTCTTCTGACAGTTGCAGCACTCTAAGTGTAGACCTTTCATGTAATGACCGATGGATCCTTTGAGGTTTACTCTAATACACCTAATAGTCGATTATTTCTCATGTAGAAACATAATTTCTACAAAAATGTTGATCTTGATTGAAATGATGGTTCTGCTATTTTTTTTGACAACTGTAAAAAGAGAAAAAAAATCGTCGGCCATCAGCGGGTCAGCTTAGTTCACTGAAACAGAGCAGGAAGCCATGTCAGGGTCTCAAAAATAAATATGACCATATTAGGGATGCACAATCGGCATTTACGTTGTTACTGGTCGTTGTTAGTCAATTTATAAAATATTGGCATCAGTCCAATAAATAAAAAGTGGCTGATGTTAATAACGGGTGGTGTTTGCTTGGGCATTTGACTGCGACATTGATTGGGGTTGTTTAAGGGAAGTAGAGTAGTAATGTTTTCCATAGTGTCAAAAGGGGCAGCGAAATATGTATACAATAATGTAAAATATTGGTTAATATCAGTTATCGGCCGTAACAGCAATGTTAATATTGGCCTAAATGTACACGTCAGTGCATCCCTAAAATGTTTTATTATGCATAAACTCATGCATACATGTTAATATATAGAGGGAACAGGCATCCCATAATATGCTTTCAGTTACGAAAGCATACGGACACTGACAATCCTTTATGAGGATGTTTTAATAAATTGGATGGAGGAGAAAAGCTGATTTCACTAATGTGCCTCGTGGATGGATGGATGGAATCCACTTACCAATAAGAGCAAAGGGGTTTCCTTGTTAGGAAACAGAACAACACATGAGAACAACTTGAAATAACACAGCCATGCTTTGAAGGCAGAACCAACCACCACACAAGGTCACGCGCACGACACGTGAAGGTTTGCTTGTGGAAAAACTTCAAAAGTGGGGGAAACTCACCTGCAGAGCAACTGAACTTTCCTGAGTCAAAAGGACAGCGTGAGGGGAAAACAGGAGGAATCATCAGAGCTATTAATCTCCAAAACAACGAGTGGCAAATGTAGACTATTTTCAAAATGTGTGTTGGAAAATGAAGAAAATACTCCAGAACGTTGAATGTAATAAAACCGGGCTCGTTTCATTTGCTTTAACAGGACAGTTTCTGTTATCCTTACGTTAAAGTCTGTCTGAGCCACATCAGTCATAGACATGCATTACTGACACACCAATCAATTAAGCCAGTGACTGATAGCAAACCAATGCTCCTTCCTGTTCAGCAGGTCAAATTTCAAAGCAAGTAAAAAAAAAAAAAAAAACTAAATACTATCAGCCCCTAAAAGCCTAATATTTAACACCTGATGCAGGGGTTTTGTCATACATGTGTATAAATCACAGGAACAGCAAACTAAGGTTAGCCCATACAACGCTATTAGAATGGCAGCAGTATTGCTTTGAAAAAAAAAAAATAATAATAATAAATGTGTGTGTATGTATATAAATTTAAAAACATAAAAACTGAGATGAAGCTGTAGTAAACATGGCTCATTCATTCATTCATTCTATTAACTTCTTGTTCAACTGTTTATCTTTTCCTTAGAACATTTTAAATAAAGCAAGATTAAAATATAAGGTTACAATTATA